CATCATCATCACCATCACCATCATCATCATCATCCTCATCCTCATCCTGCATCCTCCTCATCATCATCATCATCCTCATCCTCATCCTCATCCTCCTCCTCATCATCATCATCATCATCACCGTCATCATCATCATCATCATCATCCTCCTCCTCCTCCTCGTCCTCATCATCATCATCATCATCATCATCATCATCATCATCATCCTCATCCTCATCCTCCTCCTCATCATCATCATCATCATCATCATCATCATCATCATCATCATCCCGAGCCGTCCTCTGACGGCCCCAGGGCCCGCGGAGGGCCCCCGGCGGCGCCCGCGAGCTTTTCGTTGCTGGACACCGACGGGGCCGCCCCTCTGCGCGGCCCGCCCCTCTGCGGGGCCCGGGCGCACCCCGCCCTCGGTGCTGCGCGGGCCGCCGCCGCCGCCGCCCCCGGCCAGGGCGAGGTGCGGCGGCGACCGGCGCCCCCGACCGCAGACTTCAGTCGGGCCTGTCCCTCTGCAGAGGGAATCTTCAAAGAGAGTCAAGAAATAGTCTGGGGACTATTTCTGGAGCATTTTTGACCATTTGGGCGTTTTTGTTAGAATTTTTTTTTTCGTCGGAAACCCCCCTGTAGGGGGACACGCTCGACTTAACCGCAGACCCCCTCGGGTGGTGAACAAGTTATGACACGGGGGGGGGTTCTATTTTTTCTGCCTCCGGAGGCCCTCGCCGGGCCTCGGGACCGTCCAAAAACGGTTCAGGAGGAAAAGCCCGTCCTGGGGAAGGGGTCGAGACCTCTCAGGGTCGACGTTCTGAAAAAATCATGGCGTGGGGGGTCTGGGGACTCGACTTCGTGTTCCGAACCTTCGATAAATGAGTTGGCACAGTCGGACACGTAGTTCACTACGACCTATCGAGCACGCCTGCGGCGGATCACCGCCGCCCATCCTGCATGTTTGGTTGGAAGAGCCTGCGTGTCCGAACAGCTCGGCCTGGCCATCGGACCATATGTTTCCCGAGTCGGTTTGGAAACCCTTCGAGGAGCACGTGGGCGATAACGGACACAACGAGTTGGTCTCATTGACCGCTACTGAGGATCTTTTTGGATCGTCTCTGGGCTGCCTACTGTATGGGGTGGTCATATATTTGAACGTTCCGTTGAACGTCACAACGCAGAACAAGATTGGTGTACGAATACTCGTGTTCAGAGGGACCTGGTGTCAGGCCTTTAGGAAAAGACATGTGTTGTTTAGCGCCACTTCATAATCGCCTGTGTGATCAGACGTTTCGGCATACTACTCGTGCGAGCTATCTTACCGAGTATTCCCTGAGCTGCTGCTGGAACCTTTCGGGGGACGCGTGAGCCGAGCTGCTGGACAATATGTTCCCCGAGCTGGTCCTGAAAGCCTGCGGGGAACGCGCGGGCGAGACGTCGATCTGGTCTCTGTCGCCCATCTTGGGGGTCTCTCTAGACAGGCTTTTGGGCTCGCCTAGCATAAGGACGGATAGTTTGGGGCCCGGTGACCGGTGGGGCTGCCCAGAGCCGTCTTGGGGTCGTCAGTTGTATTCGTTTATATGTCTTGGGCCGTCTTTGGGAACAAATTGGGCTTTCACCACAGCCGGCTCGCCTGATGTTGATAATGTCATTGGCAGACTTTGGGAACACATTGGCCCTCCACCACAGCTGGCTCGTCCGATGTTGAGCATGTCACTGGCACGTGTTCCCCGGAGACTCCTATACTTGTTCCGGGCAACGCTTGTGGGACAGTTGATAGTTGTAACGCCCCATTGTCGAAATCACTTCGCTGACCTACATTGCTTGTGATTGTTGCTTGCATCATGTCCGTCCGTGAGTGCATGTGTGCTCAGACTCGCTTGAGTCTCAAATTGCGATACCGGCCAACAAAATTCGATTCCGAGACCATGCGTGGATGAGTTCCGAAACAAGAGCCTCTGTGGCCAAACGTTTGGGTCCAGGGCTTGGACAAATCATTGGACCAGGTGTTCCCCAAGCCGCTGCGGAATTCTTTTGGGGAACTCTTCAGAGGAACATAGAGCAGAGGAGAATAGGAAGAAAAAGGAGGGAGGGGGGAAGATAGTTCTTGGGAGCCTCTTGGGCTTCTCCACTCTTGGAGCCTCTCGGGCACTCCCGGCGGCTTCTGGAAGGTTTCTTGGAGGCCTCTTGACACCTCCCAGGGCTTCTTGGGACACTCGGGGATTGATTGCGAGCTTCTTTGGCCGTCTTAGAACGTGCGTGGACCACCTGACACCGTCGGGAGCCGTCGTGGGGGCCTCGTTGAACCAACATCTCCTCCTCCTCCTCCTCCTCCTCCTCCTTCTCCTCCTCCTCACCTCCTGGGGTGTCGCAGGGCCGTCTTGGAGGCCATCCTGGGCGTCCTGGAGACCTCTTAGGCAATCGTGGAGTCCTGGCTCTCTTGGGGGCCTTTGGGTTCCGTCACGGAGGGCCATCTTGGAGGCCTCTTGGGCGGTTTTGGGGCCGATCTTGGGGGTCTGTTGGGCCGTTTCAGGCCGTCGAGGGGCACCGGAAACGGAGAAGCCGAAACAGCGGAACGCCAATGTTTTTTTGGGGGTTTCTTCGGTTTCCCCAGCATGCAGCGGAGGCCATGCCAAGAAACACCTTGCTCGCCTCCAGGGTGCCCTGGGTTTCTTGGGTTTGGATGGTTTTGCGATGGAAAGCGTGACGGTTCGCACACCACAAATCAATGGACGTCCTGGGGTCTCAGGGTTGGGTTTCTTGCGGGAGGTCTCTTGCGATCGGGCCCACGCTGTAACTTACCTCGGGAACTTGATTGCCAGCGATGGAAGGGTCGGCACGGAATCGTCCCGCCGACTGTTCGCTGCCAGGGCAGAGTTTTTGAGACTCTGGCAAGGGCGTGGTCTCATTCTACACTGGACAATTCGGGAGCACTGCGCATCTTGGATGCCTGTGCGGAGAGCAAGCTGCTGCACTGCTTTCGCACGTCTTTCCTGAACCAACAAGGGCTTCGCATTCTGGATGCCTTGCAAGTCTGGTGCCATCGCAAAGTTCCACGCACATGTTTTACACAAGCAGAGTGTCCAATGAGTGCGTCGTGCAGCACGCCGGATCCAAGCCGCTGAGTAACGCCTTTGCTTCGCGGGCAGCTGCTCTTCTTGGGGCACGTTGCCCGGGAGCCAGGCGACGACCCCGTGAGGTTCACGGTTTTCCGGCCTTTCTCACACGACCTGGCGTTTTCCATGATCAAAAGGAAGAGGGGGCGACCGAGATAGACGTGGTGTTACGAGATTCACGCGCGCGCTGTCAGGGCAGCGGGGGGCGAAAAGATCCTTGCGCATCTGTGGCGAGGTTCAGCGCAGACCATCGCAGGCTGGCGCGCGACCGGCGCGCGGTATTGCGATGCCCTCTGAGTCTGTGTTTCGTGCTCATGTGCGTTTTAGCATTCAGCTTCTCTCTTTGTCTTCCGGGCTTTCCCGGAGAAAGTCTTGATCAGAGGAGCATGAAGTATTGATATCGCTTGCTTTTACAAGTTCCTGGTTTTCCCGTCCTTCCGCGCGGGCTCCAGGGACGCATGGTCGAGTGCATTCCTTCGCGCAGGTATTTGCGTGATGTGCGCGGTGCATTTTCGCGCATCGGATCGCCCTCGAAGATTCCAAGCTGCATTCTGTTTTGCTTTTGGGGAGTCCGCGAGTCGCAGCTTCCGTGGTGCGATTTTCGAGACACCCCCTTCGAGTGCTGTTCGCGGGCGCAGGGCGCTGCGCGCGCTGCGCCCTATCGAACGCGGCGCGGTGCGTGAATCAGTCGGTTGCGCCCGTCAGACCGCCCTCAAATTGTTTCCGGATTGCAGAATGTTTCCTAACACGCGTTTTTGTTTGTTTGGCAAAAGTGGGTCCGGATTTTTCATAAAAAGGCGTGCGGACATTTACAAGAAACATTGTTGAGGGGTGAAATGCGCCCTCCGCGCAGGACATTTGAAGAATTCTGAAATCTGGAAGTTTTCAAAATTCTAAATCGATGGCAGAAACTCAAAGGTAGGCCAAGAATTTCCAGAAAAAGGTTTCATGGATTTTGGTTCATCTTCCCTCGGAGAAATTTCCCGAGTCGCGGGCGATTTGCCTGACATGGTATTTGGAAATCCTCCGAAGCACGCAGCGCGCGGCGGCGGGAGACGGGGCGGTGCGCCACCGTCCCCCCCCGCGTTCGGCAATGAAAAGGAGAATCAGCAAGTGCCCAATAGCCCCCTACGGGCGACTATTCGATAGCGAATTGGTGACCGACCAGCGGCGTTAGGCAGAGCACACAATATTCTACGCAAGGTGTACCTTGCGCGCAGGTTGTTAGAAATCCCGGACCCCCCGGAAGTGCGTCAATAGATTATTTTCGTCCTATTGGATTCTTTTTGGGCCATTTTGAAAGCCTCTTGGGCCTGGGCCGCCGTGGGCCATCTTGAAGCCATCTTGTGCCGTCTTGGGTGCATCTGGGGCCATCTTGGGTTTTCTTGGCGCCATGTTGGCCAACCTGGGGGCCATTTTGGGCCATTCCGGCCGTCTGGGAGGCATCTTGGAATGAATGTTGAGCCATCCTGGGCGAGAAAAGCATTGACATGTACATGTTCTGGGAGGCCACGGCGCTGGGCCGAAACCGCAGGGGGGGCCGAACAAAACCAGGAACTCTGTACGCCAGGCGCCCATGTGGCAAGACCTCAGTGGGTGACGGATCGAATGGCGTTTGGCCTATCCCGCCACCGTCCATGAATTGTGGGTATGAATCGTATTGGATGTTCGTTGAGATCTCGTGGGGGGCCTCTCGAGTGTTTCCCGGAGGCAGTTTGGAAATCTCGTGGGGGCTGTTGGGCTCGATTTGGGGGCTTTGTGGAGGCGGCCTCTTGGGCCATCTTGAGGCCATCGTTGGGCGTCTTGGGCCGATCTTTGGGGGGCGTGGGGGGCGTGTCGGGGCCCTCTTGGGCCGTCTTCCATGCCGCGTGGGTTTTTTGTTGGTCAGTCTTAGGGCCCTCTCGGGACCGAACAAAGTCACGCGCCACCGCTGCGGGGAGCCCAAAGGGCACGCGGGAAACCACATGGGGCACGCGGGAAAACGCATCGGGCACACGCCAAGCACCGGGAGATTTGAGAGCGAGGGGCCACTCCTCATGAGTGAGGATTGAGGCTCCGAGGATTGGGCCCAGATCCGAGGACAAACCCAGCCCGTGCCCAGCGGCACGGTGACGTCTTCTGGCACCCCGGCGACGCCGACAGGCCATGGCCTCACACGTTCCGCCCAGTATGGGGCCCGCCGGCGGCTGCCCGCAGGAGCGGTCCGTTCCGTTCCGCTCCCGCTCCCGAAGGCCAGAAAAGGATACGATGAGTCGTAGCATCGATCCCACAAACAAAGCAGAAGCAGTACCGGCAGTGACGCCAGTGTCGGCCGCAGAGCTTCGCGGCACCACGTCCAGCCAGGGCGGGCGGGGCGTCTGGGGAGCGGCGCCCTGGCCAGGGCCCCGAGGGGTGCCGGGCCGTGGCCTCGAGGACGCCCCCGGAGGCGCAAGGACGCCCCGGGAGGCGCAAGGATGTTGGAAAACTTAGGTTTTCGATCCGCAGGCACCAGCAGTAAGAGCCCCGCCCGCCCACGGGTGCCCGACGATGATTCGCTTGTGCATGTCGGCGGTGAGCCGCAGAGCCCTGGGGCAGCTTGCGAAGCTCAGGGCCCGAGGAAAGCTGCGCCCCTCGATGCCTCATCGCTAAGCCTCTCGCTGTGAGTCGGCGCTGGGTTGCCCCTGAGCAGACGCCTGGCTGCGCAGCCGTCCCTTCTGTCTGCATGTTCGGCACCACACCTGCTGCCAGGGGCGCCGATCCGAGGACTCTGCTGGGACCCCCGAAAGTTTATGCCTATGTAGTTTGCTTCGGAGGAGCACGAGGTCATGAGAATGATACGTTTCAGGGTCTCTTGGGTTTCCAGGACTTCCCAGCTTACCAGATGTTCCACACGGGCTCCAGAACTCAGGGCCGCCAGATATTTCGGAAACCCCGAGCCCAGGACGCGGCGTCCTCGGCGCCCCTCCTGCGGCTGCGGTCCCAGGTGCTCGAGAGGACGGCTCCGTGCGCAGCCCGGCGCGCGGGGGGGTGGGGAGGGGCGAGGGGGAGGGGCAGGGGGGCAGGTTGGGGGACGGGGAGGAGGAGGAGGAGGAGGAGGAGGAGGAGGAGGAGGAGGAGGAGGAGGTGGCCGCCGCCTTGTGCGCCTCGCTTCTGGGGGGACCGCCCCGGTTGGGGGGCGGTGGGGGGAGCGCGCGGGCTCCCGACCACAGAGGTCCCGCCGCAGAGCGACCGGCGGCGGAGGCAGCGGTTGTCGCAGGAGGAGCCCAGAGATCCGACGCTCCAAAAAAATCGGGGCGGGCGGATTTTGGCCGCTTTCGGCCTCTAGGGGCCCTCGCCGGGCCGCGGGAGCATGAAAAAAATACTCAGGGCGAAAAACCGGCCCTGGGGAAGTGGTCGGGACCCCTGAGGCCCATTTATCGAAAGAATTGGAGCAGTCGGATGTCTGGAAAGGTTTCCCTTCTCGGGGTTGGGCCACCAAAGGTTAGCCTATAGGCTGGGGTCTGTTCTGCGTGTGCGACTGCCTGGTATCAGATCTGCAGTGCTGCAGCGAACGGAGGGGGCCAGGGTGGAGGCCGGCCGGGATTAAAAACATGTTTTACAGTTTCAGATGGCCGCCTCGGATCACAAATATAATGTGGGAACCCTAGAAGAGGGGTCTCTTCCGCTTTGTACTTCCTTGCAGTCTACTCACAGTCGGCTCCCACTCCAGACGTCCTAAACATTCAGGCGGCCAGGTGTCAAACAACCTGTGTTGTTTTACTACGCTCACGATAGCCGCCGCGTATGACATACAGAAGGCTGGGACCCTACATGGGGGGCTTCTGCTCCCGTCTGCTCCAGACATTATTGCAAGCTGCACACAGAAGCGGCACTCGCTCGGTACACCTTCACAGTTTGTTCATGAATGTTGATCATGGTCGTGGTGGTCAACATCATCATGTTGGTGAGGATGACGTCTGGTGATGCTGAGGGTACGGTCGGGATAATGATGACCATCATGGTCATGGTGGTGATGACGATCACGACTGACGATGGTGGTGGTGATGGTGTTGTTGATGATGATGGTGATGATGTGGCTAAATTGGTGGCGATGACGATGTACATGATTGTGCTGACGATGATGAGTGTCATGGCGATCATCATGCAGACTGCGGCACAAGCGATGATGACGATGATGATGTGGACAAGGTGAGGGTCTGTTTCATGCTGGCGCCTGGTTGCTGTTTCCTGTGTGGGATGCCAGGAGAAACACTGCCCCACGTAGGACGTGGGGGGGGGGAATATTTCCAGCTTGGATATGCGACCATCCTCACTCCTGTCGTGTGGGCAGATCCAGCCTGATCCTGTGCAGCGGCACCTGGCTGACACCGCGGCGCCACGGAGGAAGAGGAGGAGGAGGAGGAAGTGGAGGGGGAGGTTAAAAGAGGGAGGAAGAAAGAGTGTGTCGAAAAACACACCTGGAGCTCAGGCGTCCTTGGCCAGTCTGGGCCCGCTGGCGGACACCACGGCACCACGCAGGAGGACGGGAAGGAGCAGGAGGGGGATGTAAGAGGGCGGATCACTGGAGTCAGAAGTGTCCGTGGAAATGGCCTGGAGCTCAGGCTTCCACTGTCTGGTGAGGATCAACTGGCTGGAGGGCGGATGATGGCTGTGGAGTGGAGGAGGAGGAGGAGAAGGAGGAGGCGGAGGAGGAGGAGGAGGAATAGGGAGTGAAGAGGGAGGGGATGGGGAATGTGAAGGAGGACGGGGGGGGGAGGTGAGATGGAGGGGAGGGCCCGATCAACCCCCTGGCCGTTCGTGGGGTGGCGAGCTCCGCTCGGGAGTTTCCTCGGGGCGACGGGCGGGCCCGAGCAACTTCCCTGGGGGCCCGTGCGGTTCTGGTGGCCATGCCCCAGCGACAGAAGGGCGGCCAATGCGAGTCCCCCTGTCGTCAAGGGCTCCCTCGAGGGCGCGAAGTTATTCGCGCTTCGCGCTTCGCGGTCCTCGTTCCTTCTCCCCCTCCTCCTCGTCCTCCTATTCTCCCTTTGGGAGGGCGGCGCGAGAGCGCGAAGTTATTCGCGCTTCGCGGAGCGCGAAGCGCGAAGTTGGGAGCCCTAGGTCGTGCGCAGGGGGTGGTGACCCTGCTGGGGGGGGGGGCCCGGACAATTTACCCCTCCCCCCTCTGGCTGTGTCGACTGAGAGCCACCACGACCTTCGAGCCCAAGGAAATGCTCGAACAGAACAGGCATTCCACCCGGCCGTGTCGAGTGGGAGCCACCGCTTCGGCGGAGAGGGAGTGGGAGGGGGATGGGAAGGGGGACGAGGGGGAGGTGAAATTGGGGTGGTGCGCTCGCCATGGGGGTAGCACCCCCTCCCCCTGTGGGGGGTCTCTTCAGGCCCAAGGGTTAGCCCGAGCACCCCCCCCTGACCGTGCATGGGGTAGCGAGCTCCATTGGGGTGGGGGGGGCTTCGCGCCATGTCGTGTGCACTGGGTGGTGACCCTCCCTCGGGAAACGCCCGCTCACCAACCGCCCCTCCTTGGCCGCGCGGTGACGCCAGCCCCGCTGGAGTGTTTCATCGGGTCGAGGGGCCGGCCCGAGCAACCCCCTGACCTACGTCGCCCTCCTCCGCAGAGACCTGGGGCCAAAGCGCGTCCCCGTGCCACTCTTTTTGTAATTACGCCACTCTTTGGCAAGCCGCCCCCCCCCCCCCTGAGCCGCTCGCTCCGTCCGCCCCTCTTTCGGCCGCGCCCTCCCCCCGCTCCTCCTCGCGCATGGTGGCACAATTCGCTCTAACAGCATCCCCGCATAGGCAAGCCATCGCCAGCGCAGGCGTCCCCTGCCTAGCCGCCGACGCAACAAAAAAATTGCGCCACCAGTTTTGCGCAGGGGGCGCTGGCCCCGCTTCGTGGGGGGGGGGGAGGGGAGGGGAAGGGAGGGGGAGGGGAGGGGAGGGGGAGGGGAGGGAGGGAGGGAGGAGAGGGGGGGAGGGAGGGGGGGGGGTCAAGTTAGCCAGTCCGAACGAGCCAGAGGGCTCCGTCCACTCCCACCCGCCGTCCCACAACATAAGAAGCAAGTGCGTCGCGTCCGACGCCTGTCGCTCATCTTGTATCGTGGGCGGCTAGACGTTCAGCGCGCGACATGAGTTGCGTCCTACTTTATGCCGCGTATTGAGCAACGTCGACGAGAAACAAGACCGCGCGCGATGTACGCCGCGTCCCGCTCCGGCCTCTCATGTTGCATCGTCGGCGACAACATGTCCAGCTCGCGAAGTGCGCCGCGTCTCATTCCAGCCACGTTTGTTGCACTGCCAATCGTTTCGCTCATGCTGCGCATGGAGGATGGGGAGGAGGAGGAGGAGAAGGAGGAAGAGGAGGAGGAGGAGGAGGAGGAGGAGGAGGAGGAAGAGGGGAGGGAGAGAGGGAGGGAGGGAGACACCCAGGAGGAAGAGGGGAATGCCTCTTGGGAATCCGCGGGGCGTCCCATTCCCGCTGCGCGATTCGCAGCGCCGACGAGTAGAAAGTACAGGTCGGAAAGAAAAACGTCGACGTTGCAGTGTTTTTGACCGGTATGACGGGGGGTCCCGCGTAGGGTTGGCCAGGCGTCCACGCGCGATGTGCGCCGCGTCCAATTCCTGCTAAACTTCTCGCAGCGTCGACGACAAGAAAGACCATGATGACGAACAAAAGCGTTGATTTTATATTGTTTTTGATGGGTAGGACGCGACCACCCGCCTGGGGCTACCCAAGCGATGTTCATTCCGTCCCATTCCTGATACATTTTTTTGTTATTCAACGACATGTTGGCGCAAACAATGAGTTGGTGGTGTTTCTTGACCGTTAGGACGGGGGGGGTGCTTTTGGCCGGCTAGGTGGGGATGTGTGGGTGTTTAATCATAGGAAGTAACGATGGGGGGGGGAGGGAGGGAGGAAGGGGCGGGAGGGGGGGAGGGGGAAGGTGGGAGGGAGGGGGGGGGACTCCAGGCCACGGGGGGCCGCCCGGGCAGCCCCCCCCCCCCCCCCCCCCTCCCCCCCCTGGCAGGGAGGCTGCTTCTCCAGAGGAGAGGGCCGCCACGCCCGGTGGTCCCCTGGTTCGGTGCGGGGCCGTTCCGAGGTCCTCCCGTTACGTCGGGCGTGTCCCTCTACAGGAGGAGTACCAAAAAGTAGTAAACAAATGGTCTGGGGACAATTCGTTTGCGCATTTGTCGAGTCTTTTGCTCATGTTTGGGAGTTTTTGTGTAACACAAAAAAAACTCTCGTCCCAAATCCGCCGGTGGGGGGGGCATGCCTGACCTACTACTCCCGGCTGGAGGAGGGTTGGCCGAAAGCTCCCGCTGGTCCCAGGTGGACCTCGACGTGGGGTCTCTGAGGTTCGGGCGGGACTGCTGGTAGCGTGTGGCGGGTGGTGGGGCTGCCAGTGCACGCGCGATGAGGGAAGGGAAGTGTCTGGTTGTCTACACAGCCGGGCGCAACTGGTTGCAATTGCGCGTAAGCAGTCGCATCTATCTAGGCCTCCCAGACGGGGTCGGAGTAAATGGGGTCGGAGGATCGCGCCGCATCGCCGATGCATCGCCGATGCGGTTCGATGTGCAGCCCGATTTGCTTCACGTCGACGTCGCCGATGCATCGCCGACTTCGACGACGAATCGCAGGTGCATCGCCGATGCATCGGCGATGCATCGGGGATGCGGCGACCCCATCTGCTCTGACCCCATCTGGGAGGCCTCTAATATAGGTGCATGTAGCTGCAACTCGGGCCCATCGCGCCTCATAGCCCCTGAATCCAGTTCACAAGTTGATAGCCAAAGCGACGGATAGCTCCCTGGGCAGCGCCTTCGGCGGGTCTCCGTGCTTTCCCTCTTCCTCCACTGCTCGCGCGTCAGCCGCGGCCCAGGATAGCAACCAGCGAAGACTGCATCCAGAGGCCGGGGGGGAGTGGAGGGAGGGAGGGGAGGGGATGAGGAGGCGGAGGAGCTATCCCTCCTCCTCCTCCTCCTACTCCTCCTCCTCCTCCTCCTCCTCCTCCTCCTCCTCCTCCTCCTCCGCCCCTCCCCTCCTGCCCGCCCCTCCCTCCCTCCCTCCCCCCAGTCCATCCTCCTTCCCCCTCTGCCGTCCCCTGCTCTCTCTCTCTCTCTCTCTCCCTCTCTCTCTCTCCCTCTCTCTCTCTCTCTCTCCCCCTCATCAGAACTCCCCTCGCCACCCGGCCCCGCCTATAGGAAGAGTGGGGAGAGGAGTGCTGGTGGGGGAGAGCGGAGATGCGCACTGCACATCGAGGAACGCCGCGTGTGGAGCAGCGGGCATGCTCAGCGGAAGGCGGCGCGCTCCTGGCTGTAATGTGCCCCGCGCTTTGCTCACCCGCCGCCCCTCTCACCCCCACTCCCTCTCAGGGGGGCAGGATCTGTCCAGGTCGCCTGCAGGGTCGCAGGGGTGGCCGCTCAGTTCCCCTTCGGGCCCGCCGGGGCTGCTCCCTCGTCGCGGGGCGGCGCGAGAGCTCGAGGAGGACCACGCTTTTCGCGCTGCGCGAGAGCGCGATGTCGGGTGGCGCCCGTGGGCCCCAGTGCCGAGAGCGGCCAGGCGTCTCGAGTGCACGTCGGTCGTTGAAGGGAGGCATGCTTGGATGCCCGAGTCCCAGTCCGCATCGGGCGCCTTCCTACTTTTTTAGAGTCGAGTGGCGTTCCCTCTTCCCTCCTCTCGGGCGGAAGCCTCATCTATCTTCAGCGCCTTCCTGCTTCATGTTTCTACCCACTTCTTCTGACCGACGGGTTCTCGACCCCTTTGAGGGCCAAAGAGCTCCTGGATCGCCTTCAGTCGGTGAGACGTTCGCTTTTTTCCGGCGTGCTTCTTCGCACTGAATGCAATCCATGGCACTTACGCCGAAGAGGTGGGTACGGCCCTAGAACAGTATCAACGGCCCACCTGAAGCGCACATCGAGTCTCAAAGAGAAGCATTTTGCCCCTAGGGTCATTCATTCGTTCGCTGCTCCTCCAGCGCGCTGCGCGAGGCTTACTGGCCTGGGCTCCAGGACGCTTCAGAGCGGCGGGCTGCGGCAGCAGAGGATGACCAGGAGCAATCTAGTTGGAGCAAATCTGTGCTGCCCGTGGCCATTTGAACCCGAGTAGTTATCGCCATCCTGTCCAGGGTGGCGAGCACGCCTGCCGGGCGCGAGCGGCTGGGCTCCGCGCCCGGGTGCAGGCGGACGCCGTGGCGGGCGGGGCGCTCGCGTCGAAGCGCCGGGCAGGCGGCGTGCCGACATTCGCCAGGGGCAGCGGCGCGCCGGCGGCGATGGCAGCCTCGGCCGGAGGTGGGGGCGAGCTGCCAGCTGAAGGACTCGGGTGTGGCGCTTCAGGCGCCGCACGCTGGGGTTCGGGCACCCCGTCCGCCTTCCCTTGCGACGAAGGCATCCATACGCCACCACCTTGCCAGGCCAGGGCCATCCTGGGCCCCAGGATGGTGTGTACCCTGCTGGCCTCGGCCAGGACGGCGTATACACACCATGCCAGGGCCAGGCTGGCCCCTGGCCTGGCACGGTGGTGGTGTTTTGCTGCCTTCTGCGAATGCCCATCTTGGGCAAGGTCCTCCACGCGTGTGGGGGGGGCCAGGGCGTGGCCGCAGGTGGCCCGGGCACGGGCGGCGACCGATTGACCTGCTCCGGGGCGACGGCCGCGCTCCAGAGGCGGCCGGGGCACGAGCCGAGGGGCCGAGGCCGAGCCGTTCGAGCCCGGCGGGCAGGGCTTCCTCGAGGTCCTGGGGGTCCCACGGGAGACGGCCCCGAGCGCCTGGGAGGACGCGCGCTCGGCCGCGGCCGAGGGCGGCTGCCACAGGGCCAGGAGGCCTGCTCGTGCGAGCAGGCCTGGATGCGGCGGGCGTGTGGTCTCAGTCGCGCGGGCCTCGTGGGGCGGGGTTCGCCGCGCTCAGCAACGACAGCGGCCTCGATGAGGACGGCGCCGTGGACGCGTGCGGCGGCAGCGAGGCTCGGAACGAGGCGCGGCTTGAGGAGACCGCCCTGCAGAGGGAAGCACGTGCCGCCAGCGCGGCGCCTGCGGGGCCGAAACACGGCCCAGAGGAACCAGTTTCGTTGAGGAGCATCCATGGCGGCTGGCACAGGGCAGGAAGGGCCGCCGTTGCGGCGCCTGCGGCGCCGACGCGAGGCCGGAGTCGGCGACGAGCAGCCGCGGCGACGTGCAGGGGGCAGGAAGTGCCGCCAGCGCGGCGCCTGGGGGGCCGAAGCGTGGCCCAGGGCTGGCAGCTTCGGTGAGAAGTAGTCGTGGCGACGCGCAAAGGTCAGGAAGGGCTGACAGCGCGGCGCCTGCGAGCAGCGGCCCTTGGCAGCAGGCGCGGCTCCAGCGCAGCAGGTGGGACCTGGCCCAGAAGATGGCCGAATGCTCAGCGGCCGCCCGGCCGCAGCAGCAGCAGCAGAGGGCGGAGGCCAGCCCCACCCTGCCCGAGACGCAGTCCTTGGTGAGGAGTGGATGTGGGCCAGCGCCAGCAGGGGAGATGGAGCTTGCGGAGGCCATTCCCGCCCCGCCCGACGTGCTGCCCCAGGGCCCCGGGGCGTCGCTCGGGGCGCGGGTCGTCCTGGAGGAGTCGGAGGGGGCCCCGGTCGATCTGCAGGGCGCCGAGGGCTCAAAGATCTGATCTTGATCTTACTGGGAGTATCTCTGCTGCTCGTGAATTTCCACATCCTGATCACTTTTGATATTCTGATGTCTTGGGGAGATGCAGTCACGATTATCTGGGCTATTATTGTGTACATCCAGGTTTAGATATCGTCCGGTTCTTCCTGAAGTACAACTAGCCCCCGCGCCGAGGACCAGGAGGATCGTGGTAATTGTTGCCAACGGCTCTTCCTCGATGGAGCGCGCGCCGCGGCCGATGTCAGGGACGGCTGGGCCAGGGTTGCCCAGGGCATCGGGCCGACCTCCGCGCCGAGTGCACATCGAGGCAAGGCGGCGCCGGCGTGACGACCCGGATGGGGAGGTGGGCGCCCCTCCGCGAGGCCGGGGCCGAGGCGCGGCGGGCGGCCAGAGGTCGCGCTGGCGGCGCAGGCTCGTGGGCAGGGCCGACGCAGCAGGCGACGCGTTGGGCGAGGCGTGCGGAGGCTTGCTCGGTCGGTGCCCGGGCGGCCTCGCCGACGCGGCGGTGTGCCCCCAGGGAGCGCCGGCGGGCGCGGACCTCGGAAGCGTTGTGGCCGGCGGCGGGACGCGTCGGAGTCCCGCGGGAGCGTCTGCGGGCGCAGACCTCGGAAGCAGACTGCGCAGTCCCGCTTCGGGTCGTGATTTTCGCTGTCGCATCCGTCTCGGAGGCGCGCCTCCGGGTAGCGTCCACCGTGATGCTGGCCTGGCCTGCTTGCTTGGACCGCCCGTCGAGGGGCATCAGACCCTAGACGTGTGGTACGTGGGCGGCAGAAGTGTAGCACGATATCTTGTGCAACATACGTGGAACAAATTGTGGTGTGCAATCTATGTTGTGCAGTGTACGCGGAGCAACATCGGTGGTGCAAGTGTGCAATCTGCGTGGAGCAACACATGTGGTGCGCGATGATTACTTATCTACGCTACGTAGTGCAATCTACGTGGCGCAGTCGATGTGGCACAATCCATGTGGTGCCATATATGTTATGCAACTAATGTGGAGCACGGATTGTGGCGCAGCGCAACGGGGTGGCAACAGGGCGGCAACTGGGCGGCGACGGCGAGAACGCAGCCGCCAAACCAACGGCCAGGCCCAGACGACGGGCGGCGACGAAACGGCGACGGCGCGAACGTAGCTGCCAGACGGGCTGACAGGCCCAGACGACAATCGACGACGAGGCGGCGACAGGGCGGCGACGGCGACGACATAACCGCCAGACGGGCTGACAGGCCCATACGATGGGCGACATTGAGGCGGCGACACGGGGCGGTGACAACGAGGACATAGACGCCGACGGTCAGGCCCAGCTCTTCATACAAACATGCAAATCGACCCAAAGCAATAGTCATGGTGCAATCGGAAGGTGGCGACGACGAGCGACGGCTGCGACGGAGCGGCGATGGCGCCAAACCGACACAGACCGGTACAACGGGCGGCGACGAGGCGGCGAAGGGGCGGCGACGGCGACATAGCCGCCAGACCGACAGACAAGCATCGTCGTATATCGCCGCCAGATAGGCAGACAGGCCCAGACGACTGGCGGCAACGGGATGGCGACGGCGAAAACATAGCCGCCAGACTGGGCACGCACGCCCAGAAGACAGGCGGCGACGAGGCGGCGACGAGTGAGTCGGCGACGACGACGACATAGCCGCCAGTCTGTCACGCAGACCCAATTCGGTAGAGAACAAGTAAGAAACCCTTAAGTGCAACCACAGTTTGGGGAATGTCTGTCCTCTTCGCGTCCGCCTCTCGATGTAGGTCTTTATTCAACGTCTTCCGTCTTTTCCCCCTCTGGACATGATGTTCACCACAACGACGACCCCGACGATGGTCACATAGACGATGATAACGAGGAGGATGGTGCTGCCGACGGCACCACGAAGATGGAGATGGATATGGATGCGCGTCATGATGACGAAAAGCAGGAGGGGCAAACATCAACCCTCCCGACGTCCAGGAAACCGTTTCTCCTTTAACTGGAGGCCTCTCCAGGGTCCTCTTTGATCCTGCCAACCCGATCCAGCATCGATCCCGGTCAGCTCGGTCCGACCCGATTCTGATATTCCGAGGTTCCTATTCGGCCACGCGCTGAGTTTGGGGTAGAGGGAAGAGGGGGAGGCCTTTTAGAAACATTTCTGCTTCGTAGAAAGCGCGGGCCTCATCTACAGTCGGAGCGCTGAAGACGGAATCCTAGTCGTTGGGGAGGGGCTCGGTGTTCCTTGATTGTTGTGCAATTTGCCTTAGGTCCCCCCAAGGTTTTCCATTGGAAATCGAAGTCGAAGTTTTCGGAAACAGGGGTCTCGTTCCTGATTTAGGGCTCCTTAGGGCAACGCCCCGACTGTATAGATGTTTGAACCCGGGGCCTTCCAAGAGGCAGCGTCCTTCTAAGAACACCCCCCCCTCTTTTGCACCCATACAATGCCGTTTTTAATACATGCTCCGCGTGCGGATCATGTATTAAACATGCAAGGATTTAGTATTAAAAACAACGATGAGTTCATGCATACATTGATTCATACATTAATCATGTATAAGATATCCCATCTTAAAAAAAATCCTATGTATTAAAAACGGCCCTGTACCCCCTCACCCCCTCTGCGCGCACCGCCGACCAACGCAGACCGGCCTCGTGCCTGCTCCGATGCGGCCGACTCCCCGCTTCGGGCGGGCAGCGCTGCTCTCTGCGCGCGTCCCAAGGGCGCAGGCGGACGGGGAACTCGAGGCGCACCCCGCCGTGGCCGCGCGAGGCGGGCGGCGACGTCGCTAGCTCGTGCCTCCGATCTCTTCGGGGCACTCTCAAGGGCGCAGAACGGGACGGCGGCTCCGCGCGCTGAGGTTCGGGGGTCAGAGAGGCGCCCCTGGGCCTCGATAGCCGGCACCAGCGTTATGATGTTCCAACCTATTCCATAGCCCTGACCACGAGAAAGAAGTTCGATCCCCCCCAAAAGTGTTGAAACTCAATGGTTTTCACGTGTCGCGCCCTGGGAGACACTCGCCCGACACTTTTTCGACACTTTTCGGCACTTTTTCGGGCGCTCGCACTTACTTCTGGGATGTGGTCATTAAGTACGACGGGAGCAGCATAGCACCAGGGGCTCCCAGGGGACCTCGCGCTGAGCCGAGGGGGGGTGGCGGACTCGCGCAAGGTCGCCGGCGGCCGACCCCAGCCCCGGCGCGGGGTTTGTCCCCTCCCGCCGCCGTGGGGGGGAGGTGGAGAGAGAGGAGGAGAAGGAGGAGGAGGAGGAGGAGGTGGACGAGGAAGACGACGAACAAGATTGAGAAGACTAGTCGTAACAATCAGAAAAAGCAGAAGCATCATACTAATGAGACTAAGCAGAAAACGAATAATCAGTATAATAAGAGTAGTAGTAATATTAGTAATCATAAGTAAACAAATAATGATACTTCTACTAGTAGTAGTATGAATATTCGAATTATTACTAATAACGATATCAAGCTTAATAATAAGCAGAGAAGGAGGAAGACGGGGCAGGAGGAAGGATGAGGGAGGAGGAGGAGGAGGAGTTGGAGGAGGAGGAGGAGGAGGGGAAGGATGGGGAGGAGGAGGAGGAGGAGGAGGAGGAGGACGAGGAAGAGGGAGGAGATGGTGAACCGAAATGGGGTCCCCATGTGTTTCTTCCGCCTTCCGCCTCTCTGGGGCACCTCCAAGGGCGCGGAAAGGCTCTCGGATCCGTGCACCGCGGCCAGGGTCGGAGAGGCGCGCCTCTCCGACCCTGGCGCCGCGCGGGCGAGGAGGAGTGCACGTCGCGCATCGCGGGGAGCGAGGCGCGAAGTTAGGCGAGTCAGGTTCTAGGTCAGCTAACTTCGCTCATCGCGCCCCGCGAGCCCTACAAAAGGTTCGTGCGGCCATGGTGCGCCGGCGTCGCCGGCGGAGGCGTTCAGGGATGAACTCAACATCATGTAGAGCGGCGCGGAGGCGTTGAGGGGCACGGTCACGACATAGAACCCGACGGACTTCAACCTTGAGCGATCGGGGCCGCGGTCGGTTCAAGGTTGAACGATCGACGCGGTATCTCAAAATGCGCCGACGCCGCGCGAACCCACCGCAGGCCCCCGGGTCCAGGAAGGGCCCTGGGAGCGCCAGGCCCCAGGGCTCCCAGGGTCCTTCCTGGACCTGGGCGCCGTCAAGGGCAGCTCGGGAGGAGGCGCTGGCCCCCAGGGAAGGAAGGCTCCCGGGGGTCCTGGGCCCGTGTCCCTCTCGGGGCCCTCCTCCCTCGTGCCGGGGGCCCCCCCGCGAACCTGCCGCCACTGGCAGTGGCGAGCGCGATGTCGACTGAGCCCTCTGACGACGAGTGCTCCCAGCGATGCTGACGGATCCTCCTCTTCCTCCTCTTCTTCCTCCTTCTCCTCCTCCTCCTCCTCCTCTTCCTCCTCCTCCCAGCGACGCCGACGGATCCTCACCCTCCGAGATCCGATGCTGGCTGGTTCCCCGGAGGTCTTGGCCTCTTCCTTCCAGGACCTGCTCTGCACCGCGATCAGATTCTTCGACACTAAAAGGAGGAAATGAGGAGGAGGAGGAGGAGGGAGGGAGGAGGAGGAGGAGGAAGAGGAGGAGGAGGAGGGGGAGGGGGAGGGGAGGAGGAGGAGGAGGAGGAGGAGGAGAGGAGGAGGAGGAGGAGGAGGAGGAGGAGGAGAGATGGAGGAGGAAGAGGAGGAGGAGGAGGAGGAGGAGAAGGAGGGCCCGAAGGCGGCAGGTTGCCCCACTCCCTCCGCCGTGATGCTTCTTCGCAGCGAGAAGGGGCGGGCGTGACTGGTTCCCTGCCCCCCACCCTCCTAGGGGGGGATGTAGGCTCAGGGGGGGACGCATCGATCCCCGATCGCCCACTCATCGGGCCCGATCGCCCGCCCCGCCCAGGTCCGTGCGGCTTCGCAGCCGGGGGCCTCTCGCCCGATCTATCGGCTCGGGGGTGGACAGAACCCCCCAGCAGTGACACGTCGACTCGTGAATTGCCCGTTTTCGGTTCTCGAGAGGGCGCCGTGGCCGTTATTTTCCAGGCTTGCGCCCGCCAGGTTTGGGCCTCGGGTCGTTTTCACTAAACCACGTTTTACTACAGGGGAGTCTGTCCATCCCCGATCGGCGATGCATCGCCGATTCCAGCTCAATGTTCCAGCCCTGAGCCTGCCCCATGGTGGTTTTCGGGCCAGACGTCGGGCCTTCGGCGGCTGCTCGTGACGATGGGGACGCTCTCGGAACGCTCTCGGCGAGGCGCAGCCGCTGGAAGGCATCCCGAGGCTGGAAAGCCGCCGAGAGCCGACGAAAGCTGCGGAAAGCTCGGGCTGGTGCCCCCCTAGTCCTGGTCGGACGGGGCTGGGACGAGGACAGATCCGTTCCAGAGCACCCCTGCTTCTGAGAAGGCGCGGGCCTTGAAGCCGCCTCCTTAGAAGCCTGCCCTCCTCTGCGCGCCGCCAGCCCCTGCCCAGACATGCGACGTCCTGCCTTTTGCCAACACGGGGCCCTCGGAAGTCCCGACCCTTTCCCCGGGACCAGTTCTTCATCCTTTAGTGTTTTTTGTGTGTTTCATCCTCTTGTGTGTGTGTTTCCCACAGTGTGTTTTTTCCCACAGTCGTTTCTTGACGGCCCCGAGGCCCGGCGAGGACCCCCCCGGGCCGACAGTGGCCCGGCCCCTTCCGCCGCCCGCCCCGAGCTCTGCGCGGCGCGGCTCCGTCCGGGCGCAAAGCGCGCCGCCCGCCCCCCTCCCGGCGGGGTGAGGCCCGCGACCTGCTGCGGGCCGGCGCTGACGCGGTCGGCCGGCGGCTGCCTGTCCATGGCCCTGGCGCTCGCGAAGATGGCCGGGGACCTCGGGCGCCCCGCCCGCGGCGGCCGCCGCCTCCGCCGCCCGCCGCCTCCGCTGCCCACGTGGTCGTCGTCGTCGTCGTCGTCGTCGTCGTCGCCGTCGCCGTTGCCGTCGCCGTCGTCTTCGTCTTCGTCGTTGCCGTCGCCGTCGTCGTCGCCGTCGTCGTCGTTGTCGCCGTCGCCGTTGCCGTCGCCGTCGTCTTCGTCGTCGTCGTTGCCGTCGTCGTCGTCCTCGTTGTGGTCGTTTTCGTCGTTGCCGTCGCCGTGGTCGTCCAGAGGGTAGCGGACGGCGGTGGTTCTGGGCTCCACATCCCGAACCTACGTACTGCAAGTGCCTGCCTACTTAAAGGGTCCATCTGTGTTTGGGCGGGCTTCATGCATGTCTGTGATGCTCGTTGGGCGGCCCCGAACCCATGCTCGTTGGGCGGCCCCGAACCCAATCTACCTGATCCGCCTTCCTCGTCGCTCGAGCGGGTGGTACAGTCGGGGCGTTGATCTAAGGAACCCTAGATAAGGAACGAGCCCCCTTTTTTCCCCAAAAGTTAAACTTTGATTTCCCATGGGGAACATCAGGAAAACCCTAGGCAAACTGTAAAACGATCCAGGAACACCAAGCCCCTCCCCATCGAAAAGGGTTCCTTCTTCAGCGCCCCGACTGTAATGGGGGTCGCCCTGGATAGGGGGTGAGGAGGCAGGGCCCTGAAGGGGCGCTCTGGGGGGCCCCGTTTGGGCCCCCGCTGGCTCCAGAAGGGGCCCCTGAAGGGACCCCTTTGGGGCCCCTTTCTTCCCCCCCCCCCCCCCCAACTGAGGTCACCCCGCATACCCCCCCCCCGATCGTCGCACCGGCTGGATTCGCCTCGACATTCGGGTCGGAATGCATTCTGCGACGAGAGGTGTGTGGAGTAGCGGCATTGCTGTATTTTTCAGGAGAGGCAGGAGCACACAATCAGAATTCATCGTCGATCCCCCAGGAAATCTGGGAAAATATGGGAAGTAGGGGCGACGGAAATCCAACACATATGGAACACATATGGGACATCCTGGTATTTGTGGGTATATTGATTTGTGTGTCCTTGGGCCCCTTCAATTATGTTCCTATCCTGTCGGGGCTTCGAAGTTGCCTTGTGGTGGTTTTGGGCCGTGCAGGTCGCCTACGTGGCGTTTGTGCTCCTGTGCGGTTTCGCCTTCTGTTTCGAAGGGCCGTCGAGGTGACACTTTTGCCGAATCTGCTCTAGCGCGTGCTTTCGACATAGCGTAGAGGCGACGCGGGCCTCCAGGCCAGAGCGAAGACATGACGTACATGTGCATCGAGTCCCGTGGGTTTCGGGGGTGCGCAGCGCGAGCGTTTCCGCGGAATCGGGCTGGCCTCGCGGACACGGGGCTCGTGTGCTTGTCTGTGGCTTGGCGCGTGCATGCTTTGTGGGCTCCCGAGTCGTCGTCGGCGTCGTCGTCGTCGTCGTCGTCGTCCAGAGGAAGATGAGGAGGAGGAGGAGGAGGAGGAGGAGGAGGAGGAGGAGGCG